ACTACGGCGCAGGTGTCCAGCACGCGTACCAGCTGGCCGATCGCAAGGTGCAGCACTGGAACCAGTACTGGGGTGATTGATTTGCCCAGCGACCACCAGGTGTGGGACCAGCTGCCACCTCTCAGCGGCAGGGACGCACGCCGTGCGGTTCGCGCCTTCAGCTGGACAACGGGTACGGGGCAGGCCAGGATTGCCCCACGGGCGTTGGACCACCTGTCCGACGCAGCCCTGGATGCGATGGCCGCCGTCTTCTGTCGTTGCGAGCAGCTGCTCATCTGGCCCAAGGCTCGGCTCATGACGAAGCTCGTTCGACTTCCCAAACCAGGAGGGGGGGAGCGCCTGATCGCTCTCCTCAACACGCTCGTTCGGGCGTGGGGGAGGGCCCGTCGGCCTGTCTCTGCCCAGTGGGAAGCGAACAACGCCAGCGAGGAGTTCTGGGGGCACACGGGAGGCAGATCCTCCTCCGACGCTGCCTTCGATCTGGCCCTCGAGAAGGAGACGGCCCACCTCACGGGCGACCACGCCCTGATCGTGCTGCTCGACATGCTCAAGTGCTACGAGTTGGTGCGTCACCAGGCGCTGCTGGACGAGTGCAGGGCCAATCTGTTTCCCATGAGGCTCGCGTACATGCTCGTGCTGCTCTACCAGCAGGAGCGCACGAGTTTTGCGTACAACTCCTTCTCGGAGGCGAAGCGTGCGTACCAGGGCATCCTGGCGGGGTGCACTCATGCCACTACGCTGCTGATGGTGCTACTGACGCGTACTTTACGCATGACTGCTCGAATCGCTCCTGAGGTTCGTCCACGTGACCTGGTGGACGACGTGGCTTTGTCGTGGACTGGTGCCGATGCCCGTGGTGCCCGCACGCTTGCGACTGCCACGAAAGTGTTCTGCGAGGCGGTCAAACCCCTCGGCCTGGTCCTGCAGTTGGACAAATCGGGGCACTTGGCCGTGTCCAAGTATCACTTCAGGCAGTATGCCAAGTTGCTCAAGATTGGTGGCAAACGTCACATGCGCTACCTGGGCCACGACCTCGCGGCCTGCGCTGCTGTGCGCAGTGTCCAGAAGGATCGCCTCAAGAAGATGGATGCTCGTCGCCCTCGGCTGAAGGCGTTGCAGAAGGGGGCTGGGCGCTGGCGCTCGGCGCGCCTCTGGACCACCGGCGTGCTGCCGTCGGTCGGCCACGGCGCGGCTGTCAGCGGCATCAACGACGGCGAGCTGAAGCAGATGCGCAGCTTGGCAGGCAGTTTTTGTGGCTTCAGTGGCAGCGGCCCCCTCACACTGTACCTAGCAGTTCAGAAGCAGCGCAGTTTCGACCCGATCTACCACGCCACCTGCAGCCTGCTGCAGCAGTACACGGTGTGGGTGTGGGCCGCGCGCGGCTCTCTCGCCAAGCTGCAGAGGGCCTGGATGGCGCTGAGAGACCAGTTCGAGGATGCTCGCGGTGCTGTCACTTGGGCCAGTGCTAGGGGTCCCATCTCTGCGCTCTGGCTCACTCTGCGCAGAGTTGGGTGGGACATGGCCAGTGCCACGGTCCTCGTGGACGACGCGGGTGTCGGCATCGACCTGCTGAGGGTCTGTCCCAGCGAGGTCCAGCACTACATGTACCTGAGCCTGGAGCGCTGGCAGAGCCATCGTATTTTGGACCATCTGCCTGGAGCCCCTGCTCGGCGGCCAGACGGAAGCCGAAGGCATATCTGGATGCGATCCCTTCGTCAGGGTCACCTGCAGAGGCTGTCCAGCGGGCTGCGTGGTGCTTTGGCAAAGCGTCAGTCTGACGGCATGTGGACGCCCGCCCGTCGGCGCGAGGCAGGTTACACGGACAATGCAGTTTGTGAGTTCTGTGGTCACGCGCCTGCCGACCTCGAGCACGAGATGTTCTACTGCACCGTGCACGAGGCGCAGGAGGGGGAGGAGCAGGGCCCGTACCCCGAGGACGTGCTGCAGGTCAGGAAGGACATTTGGGAGCAGGGCCAGACGGGCGCTGGTGCGGAGTGGGACTTCACCGCTGTCGACCTGCTCTACGCGTTGCCGATGCGCCCTGAGTTTCGGCCCCCTGAGCCCAGCATGCTGCCTGTTCGAGAGTGGGGCGCCCGCGATGTGCCGTGGCCGTCTAAAGTTTTTGGCGACGGGTCTTGTTTTGATAGCGATTTCCCCGAGGCTAGGCGGTGTGGCTGGGCGGTCGTGGCCCTCACGCCAAATTTTTTGCCGTTCAAGGCTGTTTTTGGTGGCCTCGGAGGCCCGATTCAAACCGTTCCCAGGGCCGAAAGGGTCGCCGCCCTCCGAGGTCTCGAATTGGCGTCCAGGCCGTCTGAGTTTGTCACCGATCACCTGGCTCTGGCGCAGGAGGGGGAGCTTTGGTTTGGCAGGCATGCTCGGCCGACAGCTCCCCATGCGAGTGTCTGGAGGCAGTTGCACGCTCTGTTTGAAAGAGATTTAGATCGTTTGCCCCGTTTCTCCTGGACTCGTGCTCACAGGTCCGTGGATGAAGGCATTGCGTCGTGCACTTCCTCGGGAGAGCCCCTCGAGAATTTGTTCGGTAACATGTGGGCTGACTGTTTCGCGAAGATGGCCGCGCTCGATCTGTCTGGATCTTCCTCGGTCATTCGTGCGCATAAGTTTGTAATGGAGCAGGCGAAACAGCGGATGAGATGTCTCGCTTTTGCCGCCCACAGAGTGGCCATGATGGCATCGCCCGTCGTCCATCGGCCGCTACCGCCTGCCCCATAAAGCCCCCCGCCAGCGCAAGCCCACCACCCACGCGTTCGCCCTGTTTCCTGCTGGCGCGATCGGGTGCACTGCTTGTTGGCGCCAGGCCTCGACCCCGTCCTCCCTGAAGTCCCTCTCCTCCCGCCTGTGTGATCCCCAGGACGTTGGTCCTGGACACCTGGTCCAGGAATGCGACCGTGTGCTGATTTGCACGCGCTGCGGGGCCCACGCCGTGCGCCCGCAGAGGTTTTCTGTGGGCCTCAAGCGCGCGTGCATCGTCAGGGAGGATGGAGTTCGGTCGGGAGCGGGTGGGGGTGGTGCGCGAAGTGAGAGAGTCCAGCGAATGTTGCAGCACGCCCAGCGCGGCCGCCACCCCAAGACGGGGGAGGCGCTCGGCCCGCTGATGCTGGCCCCGATTGCCCCTGAGGCCGCCGTGCAGACGCTCACTGTCGTCGGGACGGGGGTGGCGGATGGGGGGGTCGGGGTCGCTCGTGGGGTCGAGGAGGAGGAGGGTCGGAGCCCTGTGCCGCGAGCCGATGCTGCGGCGCTGAGCAGGCCCGCGCCTTCGGCTCCCCTCTCCCCCTCGGCCCCCGTGCTGCAGCCACTGCCCGAGTCTGGTGACTCGGACTAGCTGTGGCCAGCAGTTCGGGCGCTCGTCCGCGCCCATCGGCGCTTCCTCCGAGGCTCAGTCGGGATCCCCTTCTGCGCCCTCGGCCATTGCTCCATTGCTCCTCCTCCTCCTCCTCCTCCTCCTCCTCCTCCTCCTCCTCCTCCTCCTCCTCCTCCTCCTCCTCCTCCTCCTCCTCCTCCTCTCCTTTCTCCCCTCCTCCTCGCCCCTCCCCATCGGAGAACGCCTTTGCGGCCAAACGTTGTGCCGAAGTCTAGTCAACCTATTGGACAGTGGAAGCCCATGCCAAGAAACACCCTGCCTGGCTCCAGGGTGCCCTGGGTGTCCTGGGTTTAGCTGTCTTTGCTATGGAAGCGCGACTTCCTCACACCAAAAATCAATGGACGTTCTGGGGTATCGAGGTTGAGCTTCTTGTGGGAGGTTTCTTGTGGTCGAGTTCCTAGTGTATGTGTTCCCCCAGCCGCTGTGGAACCCCTCTGGGGAACACTGGGGCGAGGAAGGGGAAGAGACAGGAGGAGGAGGAGGGACCCCTGCGGCGGCGGCGACCCCGCCGCCGGCGACCCAGAATCGGTCGATGTTGAACGATCGGACGGTTCGGAGACGGCCGATCGTTCAAGGCTGAACGATCCCCGCGGTGCCAGGAACCAACGCCAGGGTCGGCACGACACGATCCCCGCCTTAGACTCCCTGGCCACCGGCACCCTGCCACTCCCGGGGCCCCGCTCCCCCACGGCGCCTCGTCGTCCTCCTCCTCCTCCTCCTCCTCCTCCTCCTCCTCCTCCTCCTCCTCCTCCTCCTCCTCCTCCTCCTCCGCCTCCTCCTCCTCCCCTCCTCCTCCTCCTCCTCCTCCTCCTCCTCCTCCTCCTCCTCCCCTCCCTCCTCCTCCCTCTCTCCTCTCCTTTCTCCCCTCCTCCTCGCCCCTCCCCATCGGAGAACGCCTTTGCGGCCAAACGTTGTGCCGAAGTCTAGTCAACCTATTGGACAGTGGAAGCCCATGCCAAGAAACACCCTGCCTGGCTCCAGGGTGCCCTGGGTGTCCTGGGTTTAGCTGTCTTTGCTATGGAAGCGCGACTTCCTCACACCAAAAATCAATGGACGTTCTGGGGTATCGAGGTTGAGCTTCTTGTGGGAGGTTTCTTGTGGTCGAGCTCCTAGTGTATGTGTTTCCCCAGCCGCTGTGGAACCCCTCTGGGGAACACTGGGGCGAGGAAGGGGAAGAGACAGGAGGAGGAGGAGGGACCCCTGCGGCGGCGGCGGCGACCCCGCCGCCGGCGACCCAGAATCGGTCGATGTTGAACGATCGGACGGTTCGGAGACGGCCGATCGTTCAAGGCTGAACGATCCCCGCGGTGCCAGGAACCAACGCCGGGGTCGGCACGACACGATCCCCGCCTTAGACTCCCTGGCCACCGGCACCCTGCCACTCCCGGGGCCCCGCTCCCCCACGGCGCCTCGTCCTCCTCCTCCTCCTCCTCCTCCTCCTCCTCCTCCTCCTCCTCCTCCTCCTCCTCCTCCTCCTCCTCTCCTCCTCTCCTCCTCCTCCTCCTCCTCCTCCTCCTCCTCCTCCTCCTCCTCCTCCTCCTCCTCCTCCTCCTCCTCCTCCTCCTCCGGCACGCGCGCAGCCCGTCGGAGGGGGGCCCCCCCCCCGCGGCCCTGCCGAGAGGAGCGGGAGGTGGAGCGCCTGGTCCCGTACGTTCGATCCTCGACCAGGAGCTCGGCTGCTGCCCCCTCGGGGAGGAGGTGGATCGGCTATTCAGTCGACGAAGACGAATGCGCCGGCGACGGAGACGACGACGACGATGGCGAAGGAACGAGGAGGAGGATGCTGGATGAATGTACGGAAGAGTCCGCCCGTTAGTGTTCTCATGTGTTCAGTGTACTTTTGCTCGGTTTCAGTCGGGCCTGTCCCTCCACAGCGGAAAGATTCAAAAATGGTCAAAAGAATAATATGGGTACAGGTTTTGTTTGACTAGCGGGATGACGATTGATAAAAAGATGGGAGAGAACGTTTGAAAAAATAGGTTTCTGCTATGTCTGCATAATTTTCGGACTGGAGGAGAACAATTAAAAAAGATAGTTTTCCAGCCCGCGGCCGGTTTTTTCTAATCGTCATCCCAGGCGCCGCCGCGTGAACACGACCCCCGGTCATTTATTAATCGTCATCCTCCATGTTTGACTCTTTGGGGGTATTTTTGGAGGTGTTTTCAAGTTTTCGCCCAAAATCCCCCTGTAGGGGGACAGGCCCGACCTGAGAGGGGATGGCAGGGCAGGCGGAGGGGCGAGCGAAGGGTGGAGGAGGCTGCAAGCGCCTCCCGTCCGCGCCGTCGGGACGGCCGGCCCGGGCCCCGCTCGCCAGTTCCTGCTGGCTGCGTCCCTGACCTGTCGATCGCTCGGTAGCAAGTCATGGGAGCCTGGTGTTAGGTCGGGCTTGTCCCACAACGGGTGGATTTTGGGCGAAAACTTACAAATACCCCCAAAGGATTCCCAAATAGTCAAAGAACAGACCAAAAAAAGTTGTCCCCTGACTATTTTTGCTACTATTTTTGAATAGTTCCGCTGTAGAGGGATAGGCCCGACTTAAGCCTGGTGTAACCTCTCAATTCCGTCTTCAGCGTCGACTAGCGTCGAGCAGCGCCTGGGAGTCATGAGCCAGCGCCGATTTAGTGTCGATTGGCGTCGTTTAGCGTCGGCTAGCGTCGACTGGCGTCGATTAGCGTCGATTCGCAAGAGCCGACAAGATGGTACCAGAGGCTCCAATGAGTTGCCACCGAAATTGCCGTCAGGTGACTGACCTGAACCCCGATGACCCGCTCCTGTTGGCTTCCTCCCTGACCTGTCGCTCTGGTGAGGCGTTTCTGTTTGACAGGGTGATTATTTCGTTCTGCATTCGTGTTAAGTCGGGCATGCCCATCCAAAGGAGGAGTGTTCAAGAATAGTCTAAAAACAGTCGGATGGCGACTTGCTCGTGCTCTATTAACTATTTCTGAGTATGCTTCGACGATGGACTTTTGTTCTCCCAAAATCCGCCTGTAGGAAGACATGCCCGACGAAACATTAGTGCCACGCTGCCCAGGAAGGACCTGGGACACGTGCCTCAGCGTGTCGGTGAGACGCGCCAGTCACTTCCCAGCCCCCCAGCGTGAAGGTTCGGCGGCGACGTCTGGACCCTGCCCTGGCCGATCGACGATTGAGGCAACTCGATGTGCGGCAGGGGCAGGGTTCGGAACTCGTCGAACACGTGGCGAGATGCGAACCCGACCCCCGCCTCCCGTCGATCCAGGAACATCGACGGTTGGTGGCGGGAGGGTTCGGGCGCCGCTTCCTGATGGCATCGCAAGTCGGGCCGCGCCTCGCCTCACAGGGTGGGCCCTGGAGCCGAAGCTGGACCACTGGGCATCCGGGAGGGCCTTCGCGGTGCGCCAGCCTGGGGCTGCACGCAGGTCAACGCCGACGAGGGAGCCGCCGGTCCGCCCCGTGCACGGCGCTTTCCTCGGCGTCTGTCGGCGGCAAGCCCAGGGGGGAAGGCAGCAGGGGCGGGGCCTTCTCAGAAGGCTCAGAAGGCCTCTGACCTTTTGAGGGTCTTGCTGCGCCCCCTCCGAACGCAGAGACGGTTTCTGAGAGAAGGCCGGAGGGCTTCTGAGAAGCCCCGCCGCCGTCTGAGAAGGCCTGCCCCCTCTCACTTTGCGGGACGGGAAAATGACCACAGCCACTGCTTCTTGTTTGCGCCGCCTTCCAGCCGGCCGAAAAAGAAGCATTGGTTGTGGTAATTTCCCTGGTGCCGCGAGCTTAATGAAAATGACCACAACCACGGCGTTGCTTCTGCTGGCTGGAAGGCGGCAACAACAGAAAGGCAGCGGCTGTGATCGTTTTCACGTCCCGTACACTTCCCCCTGGGCGCGCCGCCGGTTCTGGCTCGGTCCGCCCATGCTTGTGTGGGGGGGGGGGGCTTTGGCTGCAGGGTCTCCCGCCCTCGTCGCCACGAAGCAGGCGGGTCCGGAGGGCAACGGGTCCCGAGGCTCTGCGCCGTTTTCGGGCTCCCAGGGCCCTCCGCGAGCCAGGGGACCGTCCAAAAACGACTCACGACGAGCTGGTCCTGCGGGAAGGCCCCGGGGTCGTTTCCTTCGTGGCACGACACGACGCGACACGATGCAGGCCTCGTTTCCTTCGTGGCACTATCTGAAGAGCTTCGCCTTCTGTTGCCAGCCCCCCCCTCAGATTGCTTGCATGGCCACGCTTGGTTGGCAGGTGGGTTGGCCCTCTTGTCGGCTGGCTGGCTAGCAACTCGGCTGATTAGCTTGTTGTCTGAATATGTATTTTAACTGATCTGGTCTGTTTGCTGGTTGGCTGATTGCGCGCGTCTACAATAGTTCATCAGGGTTGGTGGCCTCCGGAGGGTACGTCCATTAGAATTTGCAAGGGTTCGAGGCTCCCGGAGCGCGCACCCCTCAGTCCGGTGCCTTGAGGAGGAGGAGGGAGGGGGAGGGGGAGGAGGAGGAGGAGGAGGAGGAGGAGGAGGAGGAGGAGGAGGAGGAGGAGGAGGAGGAGGAGGAGGGGGGTGGTCTAGCTAGGTGTCTTCTCGCGTATATCTGATATCTGACATCCTACCCTTCCCTCCCATCCCTTACCATGGCGTAGATCCCCTCTCTACTCGCACAGTCGGATGTCGAGCAGGGCAATGATCCCGAAAGGGTACGCGATGCATTGTAGAGCACGGCATGGCATGGCGTAGAAGAGCACCGCAAAGCGTAGTATCAACCGAGCATTGCATTGCATGCCGTGGCATGGCACGGGAAATGACGCCAGCGCTGCAGCGGGAGCACGAGTCGAAACGAGCGGAAGCGTGGAAATGAGGCCAGCGCTGCAGCGGGAGCACGATTCGGAACGAGCGGAAGCACGGAAATGAGGCCAGCGCTGCAGCGGGAGCACGATTCGGAACGAGCGGGGCCCGAACATGAGGCCGGCGCCTCGGCGAGAGGAAAAAAAAGAAAAAAAAAAAAAAACAAAATAGGCACATTTTGAAAAAGCTATCCCGGCCAAAGCACCTAACGCGATGTGTAGAGCATATTTGCAAGCATTCCCCTTAAGATTCAATAGAGAATCTTGTAGAATTCTGCCTGTTCCGCAGTCGTAGTCGCATTCGCGATGACATACGCAAGTGGGCAACGGCAGTCGCAGTCACAGCCTCAGCCTCAGCCTGCCTCTGCCTCAGCCTCAGCCTGCTTCAGCCTCAGCCTCAGTCTGCCTTCAGCCTCGGCCTCAGCCTCAGCCTGCCTCAGCCTCAGCCTGCTTCAGCCTCAGCCTCAGTCTGCCTTCAGCCTCAGCCTCTGTGCCTCAGCCTGCCTCAGCATCAGCCTGCATCCGCCTCAGCCTCAGCCTCAGCCTCAGCCTGCCTCAGCATCAGCCTGCCTCAGCGACTGCCTCAGCCTGCCTCAGCCTCAGTCTGCCTTCAGCCTCAGCCTCAGCCTCAGCCTGCCTCAGCATCAGCCTGCCTCAGCCTCAGCCTCAGCCTCAGCCTGCCTCAGCATCAGCCTGCCTCAGCCTCAGCCTCAGCCTGCCTCAGCCTCAGCCTCAGCCTGCTTCAGCCTCAGCCTCAGCCTGCCTGCAGCCTCGGCCTCAGCCTCAGCCTGCCTCAGCCTGAGCCTGCCTCAGCCTCAGCCTCAGCCTCAGCCTGCCTCAGCCTCAGCCTGCCTCAGCCTCAGCCTCAGCCTGCCTCAGCCTCAGCCTCAGCCTGCCTCAGCCTCAGCCTGCCTCAGCCTCAGCCTCAGCCTGCTTAAGCCTCAGCCTCAGTCTGCCTTCGGCCTCGGCCTCAGCCTCAGCCTGCCTCAGCCTCAGCCTGCATCAGCCTCAGCCTCAGCCTCAGCCTGCCTCAGCATCAGCCTGCCTCAGGCTCAGCCTCAGCCTGCCTCAGCCTCAGCCTCAGCCTGCTTCAGCCTCAGCCTCAGTCTGCCTTCAGCCTCGGCCTCAGCCTCAGCCTGCCTCAGCCTCAGCATGCCTCAGCCTCAGCCTCAGCCTCAGCCTGCCTCAGCATCAGCCTGCCTCAGCCTCAGCCTCAGGCTGCCTCAGCCTCAGCCTCAGCCTGCTTCAGCCTCAGCCTCAGTCTGCCTTCAGCCTCGGCCTCAGCCTCAGCCTGCCTCATCCTCAGCCTGCCTCACCCTCAGCATCAGCCTGCCTCAGGCATCAGCCTCCTCAGGCTCAGCCTCAGCCTGCCTCGCCTAACGCTCAGCCTCAGCTGCTTCAGCCTCAGCCTCAGCCCTAGTCAGCTCAGCCTCACCTCAGCATGCCTCAGCCTCAGCCTGCATCAGCCTCAGCTTCAGCTCTGGCCTGGCCTGCATCAGCCTGACCTCAGCCTCAGCATCAGCGCTGCCTCGCATTCAAATTTGGCCCCGGGCCCCCCCACTTATTAGCCCCCCATTTCTCACCGCCCCAACGAAGTGGCCTACAGTTGGCTCCGGGCATTCAAAATCATGCCCAGGAATGGAGTTCTGGGAAATCGAAGACCACGAAGTGGCCTACAGTTGGCTCCGGGCATTCAAAATCATGCCCAGGAAAGGAGTTCTGGGAACTCGAAGAACACGAAGTGGCCTACAGTTGGCTCCGGGCATTCAAAATCATGCCCAGGAATGGAGTTCTGGGAATTCGAAGAACACGAAGTGGCCTACAGCTGGCTCCGGGCATTCAAAATCATGCCCAGGAATGGAGTTCTGGGAACT